CCCGCGTGTGGTGGGGTTGAGGAGAGAGTTGTGGGGGGGGGGGGGGGCAAGGACTGCGTAAATGCAGCGCGAGCGTTGCAGGACGTCGAGGGCAGCCGAGCGAGCTGCGGAGCTGGTGCCTGCGGAGCGCAGGGCACGCCAGAGCAGAGCCCGGAGCCACGCTCCGCGTGGATTTAGCAGCTGGGGGCTTGGAAGGACGAAAGCCGCGCGAGTCGGGCGCGGCAGAGCGGGCGTTTAACCTGCTGGAAAGCCACGCTCCATAGATGGGCAGTGCACCCCACGGGGCTGCGACGTTCCCGGGTGCTGTTCCTCTTTGCCGTGCTCCTCTAAGCCACCCGCTCCCTGGGTGAGCGTGCGCGGCGTTAGCGGAGGCGGCTCCGCGTCCGCGGCGTAGACACGGGCGCTGCGCTTGGCGTCGGGCTATCGCGGCTCTTCTCCTCGCAGTGTACCACGCCATCTACCTGGAGGAACTGACGGCGGTGGAGCTGACGGAGAAGCTGGCCCAGCTCTTCAGCATCTCTTCCCAGCAGATCAGCCAGATTTACAAGCAAGGCCCGACGGGGATACACGTGCTGATCAGCGACGAGGTAACACCGGCTCCCTGCCGCTGGGTCGGTGTCCGATGGCGCTCCCCGCTCCGCGCCGGAGGTTGCGCGGGTTCGGGTCTTCAGGAAGGGCCCTGCTCCGTCGCCTCCGGTTTCCTAAAAGGGTGGGCGTTAATCATGGGAGCCTGGAGAGCCCAGGATATCGGGGCTCTGCTCTGCGGCGGGGGGCGCCTCACTAAACCCCTGGAGCCGATCAGGCGTGCGCCGCTCTCCCCGAGTCGGTCCAGGCTGCCTGCGCACCCTCCTTCCCGCTGGGGTTTCCTCTGGCTTGGCTATAAAAACAGGGAGGGGAATTGCTGTGGGACGACTTTGCTTTCAGCCGGGCGTCCTGGAATCTGATGGTTTCTCTCTCGGCTTGCTGGTTCGGACCTTCAGCTGTGGAGAGCTGGAGGAAGGAATAAATATTCATGGCTGGTGCCTTCTGTTCCTCTCGGAGCTCTAAGCTCCTGCCCAAGCAGCTTCTAGCACTTTCGGTGCTCTAAACCCACGCCCATGGCTGGGCGGCAGGGGACGAGGCCTTCGCTGCAGGGCTGTGAGGCGCTTCTGCTGCGTTTCAGTACGGCCTCAGACCAAGCTGGCTTTTGTGGCTTCTTTCAGATGATACAGAACTTCCAAGATGAATCCTGTTTCGTTCTGGACACCATGAAAGGTGAGTAAATGCCCGGGCTCCATCTTGTATTGCACAGAATCATGGAATGGTTTGGGTTGGAAAAGCCCGTTCAGCTCCCCCAGCCCAACCGTTCCCCTACCCCTGCCATCCCACCCCCAAACCCCGGCCCTCAGCCCCGCCTCTGCCCGGCTGTTAAATCCCCCCAGGGCTGGGGACTCGACCCCTTCCCTGGGCAGCCCCTTCCAGCCCC